GCAGGAATGAGGAAGCCTGATTAACAAGCTGGGACTTGTACAGGTAAAAAGAAAGCCGAACACCTAATAACAGAATATTTATTGCTACATAAATATAATCGTGTTACAAAAATCTTAACAGTACTTCACAGTGGTTGGCATTTTGAGAAATGAAATATTATTCTGGGAAACTAAAAGCTGCTGCTAAAGCATATTTTGCATCTTTATCACTTGCAACACAAAGTCATATTTCACTGCTCTGATTATGCAGATCAGGTCCTCTGATCAAGTAAAAGTACTCACATTTTTCAAGGTAAGGGAAAGACGGCACTGGATGCATGGCAAAGTAAAATTTGACTGTTTACCACCTTTTACTTCCCAGTGCAGACCAGGCACTGGCACATGAATAGATGAAACCCTTTCCATAGAATCGATCTCCACTCACAAATACAGACATTTGCCTTCATGTCAGAGAGGAGGAACAGACGCGGCCTGCTTAAGAAGGATTTATATGCAAGACATATCAGTGTACCACATCTCTGAAGTGAGGTTAAGTGTCAGCCTGCCTTCAGCCTATGGGAGCTCTGCGCTGCCTCATCTATCAACCATGTATGTCCCGATCTGTTGCGCTTCCTAGAGCAATGTAACAGTGGTTCTATAACGCTTGACACCACATGCTGACTAAGTGATGTCTTGGATTAAAAATAAATACATATTTGTATTCACACCTCTGGCACAAAGAAAAACAAAGTGCACACTTACTTCTGGTCATGTTACACACCAGGGAGAGGAACATTTTAGGAAATGACGAATCAAAGAACTGGCATATAAACCCAAAGAGAGGATGAAAGCTTAAGATTTAAATGTTTCTCTAGAGAAGCACAGAAAACCTTCAAGGAATAGTCACATTTTTAATTGTCTGAGTGTACTATGATATAAATCTGGATTTGGCTGCAGCACTTCTAATAAATTCAACTCTAGTGCAATATGCATGATTGATTACATGTACACAGATAAATGCTTTGTTTATAAAGACAAAGAGGTCGGCCATTCTTTGTGTGTGCGCAACAGAAAAACACGTGGACTACAAAGCCACACATACCCATCAAGAAAAAAAGAAATGCTACAATCAATATAATTTTACTGATACGAGTCGAAATGTCATTTCAGCTCGAAAGGCGATTAGACGAGTAAAAAGCACATTTCCACAGATTAAGTACGACTTCCATTTATTTGTAATGCTTCACTGAAGCACCCCCCACACGGCGGCTAATGGGGGAAAGCTAATCTTGATAATGGGAACCAGAGCATGCACTCTCACAACTTGGGAAATGAAAATGTGCCGTTTAAATCCATAAACTTTTTCAATTCAAACAGTAACACTTGCATGTAAAAATTTTGCTTCCAGAGGGTGAAATAAATAAGAAAAATCTCTATGGTGTTAAATATATACAATGTTTTTTACCTGCTGTAAAAGCACTCTGTCATGAGTACACAATTGTTAAGGGATAAGCAATTTTCTGCACCCTATTATCTGTGAACCCCAGGCTCACTTACCAGCCTCTGAGCTTATATGCCTCAGGGATGTCTGGGTTGATCATCAGTGTGCTGCTGAAGGATGCAGAGAGGGACCGGCCTCCAAAGTCTGAAAGTTTCGCCCCCTTAATGGCTACAATGGGCTGTCCAGAGCCATCAAACTTTTCTGCCTACACAAAGAAGCAGAGATGGACACAAGGCAGACACTCATTAGAACATTCTTGTTCTACGTATCTATCCGGATTGCACATCAAGGTTGTTGGACTAAATTAACAATTTACAGCCATGCTAATCATTCTGCAAGCTTATCCTCTGGTACAGCATTGCTTTGAGCTAAAGGCTGATGATTAGCAGGTGTAGTGTTAACCATGGGTACATCCCAAGTCTCCTATATATACAGTTTCCTTCATTTGCGTCTTTTCCTTGTGTCTTAGTCCCACCCACTTATGGTTGTGAGAAAAAGTTGCAAGGAGAAAATGCAAGGAGAGAGTATAAATAGAAATATTTAAAGACATGAGACATCCTTTCCTCTGATCCTTCATCAGAAGCATCACCAAATGATAAAAGGGGCATGTGGGTACACAAAAGACTTTCACAAAGGATGCTCTCATGTATCCTCGCTCCTGTCTCCTCACTCGTTAGAGCAGATACAAGTGTCTTGGGACATGATGAGTAATCATACAAGAGATCTGACACGCAGCCCGAGTTACCATCTTAGTTTAAGATGTTAACATTTACTAACTAGCACTGAACACAGTGCTACGGTTGGGGCTGATGGGACTGTCATTTAGTTTCTTTATTTGGTCACAAGCTATGAACAAAACATATTAGTTCAGTTCCCAAATTACTTGTTTTAAAATATTTTGATTACTGAATTCCAGATTCATGGTTTTTCAGAATTCTTTGCAATAAAACCTGAGAACACCAACTGAGGATAAATAAGAGGGCAACAGAAAAGCCTTCAGAGGAAGGAGAAAATATCTAATACTTGCTGTTCGGCATTGCCATTGTTCTTTCTAAACTATACATCTTGTGTACCTCAACAAGTCCCTCTGGAAAAGGGGGATCTGTCAAACAAACAAACAAACAGGGATTGCTGCGCTACTTGTCAGGAAAAAAGAAATGGTGGTGAACACAGCGCAGTCCCTCTGAGCCACAGGTAAAACTCAACTGCAGGAACACAGTTACTTCATCACCCCGTGACAGGGCATTTAGTAAATGATTTCCACCTCCATTAAGCACTGCACACATTGTTAAATGTCTTTGGCTTTTAACTGTTGAGCAGTGATCAGCAAATATATTGAACAAGCTTTTGAATTTTAACACCTTTCTCATACCGTATCACTAAAACTGAATATTATAAGCCTCACGACGGAAGCATTTATTGCTTTTTGTATTGCTGCTTGTCATTGTGTTCACTCCCTGAATGTGTGCTTTAGTTCAGCTTCATTCACTCAAACATAATGGTCTCCTAAAGCAAATTAAAAAGGCATTAGGGATAGACAATTTCAAAATTTATCTCTACTCAAAGAGTTCTCAGATGATGATTAACAACTGGTAAGACAAGTGATCTGAAAATAAAGTTTAACCGTCACAATAAGAATGGCCTTGCATTATGGTGCTGGTATTGATTTCTACCAGCCTTTTAAAAAGCTCCAGACAACACCTGCATTTTATTGTCCATCTAATATTCAGTAAGGCTGTATGATCAATCTTCAGCTGCGGTTCGGACGTCTGTGCGATCTCACTCAAGTGACAATGATTCTGCCACGTTAAGATTAGCATGGAGATGCCTTGCAGCAAACTGTGCGCTCCCTTTTCCTCGCCAAGCTGTGTTATCAGGAATGCGTTACATCACGTGACCAGAAGACTGATTTAAAAACAAATCCAACATCTCTGACATGGTGAAAGATATTCTGTGTAGTCCAACTATTTTTCAAACTCTGTGCTGCCTGCCCTATACGTCTAGCGCAGAATAGCAGTTGAGGCAGAAATGCGAGAAATAAATCACTTTGTGGTTATTAGTTAACGCAGCTTAGCGAGGAAAAGGGAGCGCTTAGTCTGATGCAAGGCACCTCACTGATAAAGAAAGCATGGGAGAATCAGTCATGTGAGACAGAGATCAAAAACAATTGTTCCTCCCTAATCTAATGTCTCTACTCACTTCCTCGCCCCACAGTGTGACTGTCACCACCTTCCCAGACATGTCTATCAGACTGAGTGTCCTCTTGGACACCTCCCTGTTCGATTTTGTTGTTAAGTGGGTAATCTCGTCCACACTCTTGCACACTCCGATCACATCTGTCATAAAAAAACAAAACAAATCAGTGTTAGAAGAGGACACATTATTTTACCACCCCACATATACATATCATGAATATTCATAATGGCGTTTACAACCACAGGTCACTATGTTGCATGGTTTCAGCACAAACTGGCTCTTGGGAACCAAGTGATTTATTCAAATTGTATTTATTTTATTATTTTTAATTCAGGCGTGAGGTCACTGGCCTGTATGAAGTGCTGACTTCCATAATGTGGCAGAGAATCCATGAAACAGGCTTTAATTATTTCTACAAATGCACTTAGCAAGCATACTTTGTTGACTAATGCAATTAAGCACAACAGATGCACAACCAAGGCGCTCAAGTTGGGGCTGGCGACATTACTCACCACCTATAAACCCCCAATTCCACTGAGTTAAGAAATTTTAAAGGTAGAAATTACTCAACCAGCAGTACAGGCTACAGTCTTCATTAAAGGAATTACAAGCAGGCTCCTTATTATTACTTCATTATACCTATGACAGCAGGTGCTCATTGGCTCTGCCCAAAAGTCAATCTGCACTACAGGCTATTACTGTCATGAGTATTATTAATACCACTTTTCTCTTGCATATTGTAATGAACTCAACCACCCAGCATATGTGGCTCTACTTTTCTCTGCAAACCCTAGCTGCTGCCAATGATGGCTTAATATTGGGTGCATGGGAACACCTCAGTAGGAGCAGGGCTCTAAACATCGGTTACATACCAGGAATATAAAAGAGAAACATCAGCCATCTGTACTTTGGGGCACAATACAGTCACTTAGGGACAGTGGTGTTATCGCCCCCCTCTGCACACAACTCTGCTCTCTGCACACTGGTTTACAACTCAGAATGCAGAAGACAACAACAAAAATGACATCTCATAAAATGGGTTGGCAAAACATGGCCACCATTCAAATAGAAAAAACAAAGGAACAGCTCATATTAGAAGGATCATCCAACCACAACAATGCAACATAAGAACAAACTGAGCTTCAAGCTCTGCCTTTGAGGTGCTGACAGCCAGATTCTGAGTTATAGTGTGCAGTACTGTAGTACTTTACAGGCTTCATAGGAAAAGTTTAAATCACAATCTCAAGTAATGCAAAATCTGTTCACATATGGGTAAAATAATGCCAGTTCACCATCTATTCTTTCATTTCTAAGTGCTCTATTAAAACGTACCGGCATATCGGAGTTTTTGTCTAACCAGCTGCTTGTATATGATGTTCTATACAGTAAGATAAGACTTTGTTTAGGAGGTGGGTTAGGTTGGAAGGAAGAAAAATGGCTTCAACTAGAAGGAAAAACTTTCCTTATTGCCTATTAAAAATACTTTAAGCCATCCACAGGGATAACAAACCAAATAAGCCAATTCCTCCACCATTTATTTTAACCTGTTGGGGGCTGTAGGATTTAGAAAACATCGTACATCTTGTATTCAGCCAGTCCTTCTGTTAGATTGTATTTTGTAGGGTTCATAGTTGACAGTTCACTCCACTCTATAAATATCTATGAGCGCTTGTAATAATTAACAACATTTAATAAGTTGTGCCAAGAGGTCTGCAACCTGAAAAAAAATAAACTTGGATATCATGTTCACAAGAATCAGATGGGCAGACAACCCAAGAACAGAATGCTGCCGGCAGAGGCATAAATATCATCATGTGAGGGTTTCATGATGCAGGCTGGGTTCAGAAATGCTGGTGTAAATCATTACTTGTGGTCCTTACCAATGATAGAATCTTTGTCTCTGTTCTCCAAGTCACCAATAGAGACAAAGTCATACTGCATCATGGGAACGTCACAGGTGTCTTCACAGGGGATGACTGTGGACTCTCCATTGAGCGTCATCTCGTAGTCATTCTTCACTGATGTGTACTGCTTGTTGGCAATCTTCAAGGAGCCCTTGGAGACATAGTAAACCTGGCCCATACAGACGGATGAAGCCCATGTTAAGAGATCTATGGAGCATTTCACCTGACTAGATGGTGCAAACAGAATACGACTTCTAACAGTAGGGGCAAACCGAGCAGATAAGCTGCTTATTGTATGGGTACAGTGCAGCCAGGTTACTCATTCAGTCTCTGTGGTTCTTATTCAAAGTACTGACAGCTGTTGTTAGGGCAGTCTGTAGCCAAATCTGTCTTTAACAGCAGAGTGAAATGCAGTTTTGGCAAGTTGCTTGAGTATTTGGAGGAGCATCTCACCTTTCCAACCTCAATCAGGCTGTAGAACTTGTCCACTTCTTGGTTGAAACCAGTCACACGTATTTCTCCCTATAATGAAACATGAAATCTGCTTAATATTTAAAATAGGTCAGGCACGGTTACAGGACTTCCAAGATCTTGCAGTTTGTTTACATGAAAATAAACAATGGGACAACATCAACACTCACGCTCTCATCCACAATCTCCATGGAGAAAAGTTTGCCTTCACCACGAGAGTTACTCCATGTGCGGATGGTGCTCTTGTTGGTTACACGAGCACGGATGGTCCACCTACAAGGCAGAGACAAGGCTATCACTGTCAATGTTTATTTTTAGAGCACCTCATGGACCCAGAATGCAACCGTGTACATGCAATAATTCATTCATTCAACTGTTTCTTAATAATCTGCCCTCTGTTGGCCCTTTGATGAATGACAACGTGAACTTGCCTCCTCGGCAACAGGCTTTTCACGAGCCCCCTTTACACTGAACATTTAATGCGAGAGTATTGGGGCAGTTTTCAACCGGCAGTGCCGAGTCCGACCCTCGAAACCTCCATGAGAGGTTGTATTTTTGCCAAGATGAGTTTGACCCACCTCCTGTATAAACGGGACAAGGAAGAATAGGGGGCTGGAGGTTCATGAGAGAGAGAGAGCGAAGCGGCAATGGTTGAGAGAGCTCGAAGGTGAATGAAGACGAGAGGGAGCAACAGTGAAAGCAGCGAGTTAAAGAATTAAAACATTTTGTGATTGCTTCAAGGTGGTTACGTTCTAAAGCACAAATAAACAGCTAGACCTCTGCACAGCCCTGTGGAAAGGACTTTGTATAAATGCAGCCAAAACACACACTTTTGTCTCTTTTGCTGTGCACCGTGCATGTGCGGTCATGTCCTGAAAGAGAGACAACCTGACATTGAATACATGCAGTACCGCAATTCCAGATTTCCATTTATAAATATATCAAAAATCGGGTAACAGTATGTTCTGTTTTTTGCTGGCTTTTTTGAGTTTAGTGTAAATCAAAAGTTAGTGTTCACCCCTCCAGTAGAGTTCAGAGACTTGGAGAGTCAATGTCAAAGTGCACTGAAGCTGTTCTGGTGGCACAGCACCTGACTGACACACTTTGTTGGGTTTTCCTTTCATTCGTCACCCATTTATAGGTAGACAGTGACCTCAGTTACTGTTGCATTTTGTTCTCCTGAAATAGACTGGACAGAATTAATGACACCCCCACTTTAATATTTGATAGCACACCTGAAATCAGTTGCTTTCTGTAACCATCAGTGAGTTTCTTACACCTCTCTACTAGAACTATGGACCACTCATGACCTCTGACAGAGACCCAGCTTTCTGACACTGGGCCCTACATTGGGCCCCAGAATTCATTGGTGGTCTTCAGATTTCATAAAGCCATACACACAGTCAAGACATCCAGTGGCTGAAGCAGCAAATCAACCCCAACACATCAGTGAACCTCCACTGTGTTTGACTGTAGGGATGTGTTCTTTTCTTTGAAGGCCTCATTTTGTTTTCTGAAAACAGAATGATGTGCTCGACCAAAAAGCTCTATTTTAGTCTCATCTGTCCACAGGACATTTTCCCAGAAGAACTGTCTCCTACCATAGTGTCCCTTATCATGTTCCACTATTGTGGTTCTCAAATCCTCCTCATCGTCTTTGCTCTTCTTTCTTCTCTCTATGCTCAGTGTGGTCCACATGACACAAAGGTTGAATCAACCTTTCTCCATTTTAACTGGTTCCCAGTGTGATTTCTATGTCACCAGCACCTGTTAGTTGCTACAGGTGAGTTTCATTACAAATTAAAGGGGCATCACCTGCTTGGAATACAACTATTTCTGATGAATGTGAAAAGTGTAAATAATTCTGTCCAGTCCATGTTCGGAGTTCTGTGTGGAATGGATCAGATGTGGCTTTTTTATGTTGTTCTAATGCAAACAAATGAAATAAACACGAGAATACCAAAGAATTTGTGATTGCAACAATTTTCTGGGAGAAGTGGTGTGTTATTTTTTTGTCATCTTATGTCAACTAAATACTGTGCAAAACAAATATGGTCTTAAGTGTCCAGTGACACAGCTTTCATTGGTTATTTCAGCCAAAATTTAACACTTCCTCAAAGAGCCAGAGTGTACTGGTTTATAAATGTTTCTCAGTACGGTAACATCTGAGGGTTTAAGGGGGTAGCTGCCACAATAACTGCAGGTTGTTATTATTTGGGAGGTTTGGGGTCTTATCCTGGATTAATAGCATGAAAGAGGGAGGTCTGCAGGGAACTCTGTGCGCAGGTTCATGGTAATCAATTACTGAGCGAATATCGCCGTCATACAACCTCAAGCAGTGTTTGGAGCTTTAATATGTTTCAAATATGCCACCTTAGTGTGAGAGGTTAAGCTTTATTCCTATGTCCAGGGGTTAGCATATCATGGCCATCATACACTGTACATAATACATACATGTCTACGTCTCAAGTCTCCGTTTCTAGCTCCTCAGTCCTCACTCAACCTAGAAGTCATTCCAGTGTGCCATGAGCAAGGACACATAAGAGTATCCCTCGCAGAAGTCTTTTATAAACCGACACACCCCTTTATCAGAAATCAGATGGTAATTGGATGCTTCAGAAGAAGCACCATTTATAAAAACATGTTCCTTGATTCCTTTCTTCTCTCATTATTTCCTCGCATCCTATGTGGGTCGGACTATGACACAAGGAAAAGACCTAAGTGAAAGAAATGTCAATGCATATAAGAGACTTGGGATGCACCTAATATCAGCTGATATTTAGACAGTATTTATGGGTTTGGCTCCATACAGATTAGGGGTGTAACTATCACCAAAAATCATGATAGTATCTATGTAAAAAATAAATAAAAAATTTCCGTGATACCACCTGGCCCCCAACCCTAACCTGCAGCCACCGCTGACTTTAGTAATTTGACAAAACCATTTTACATTTACACGGTTCATAGTTTTTAGTGCTTAAATTGTTTGCAATTTAATAAAACACAGGAATTTTTTCACCATTTTTTCTTATTCACCCCCTCCCCAATCAAAAAAAGAGGTCTGAACCAATTCGTGGATTTGTATAATCGTTACACCCCTAATACAGATGTAATGATTACTTATAGAATCCAGTACAAAAACAATCTAACACACTTCTCAGAGCTGATTCAGTATTTCTCAGTCTCAACCGACAGTAGGAAACTTCACACAGGTTGCATCTGTACCAAAGCTATTGTACAGTATTGCTTTAAATTATACAAGAGTTCATGATATTACATTTGTGTTGTTTTTCTTGTACATGTATGCAGTATTGTGTTGGTACATGGCAAATGTGACATTTTGACATGACACTTCCCACTGAGTGGCAAACACTCACTTGGACTGGTAAGGGTTGAGGCTAGCGATGGGCACAACTTTGGAGCTGCCCCCCGGTGTACTGGGCAGAGCAGACAGGGTCTTCTTCCCAAAGTCTCTATTGAAAGCATTGTTCACTGTAGGAGGAAAGAAGAAACAAACGATCCATGAAGAGCAGTGATGGAAAGGAGTCAAGAGAGAGGCGCATACATTATTCATCAGAGACAAATCACAAAAATCCAGTTTCTTTGGATTGCAACTGTGATCACCGTAATTATCTCCCTTCACGAGAAAGTTTCATCAGAGAAAAACCTAATGACTTAATACATTTTTACACCGCTAACTTGAGTCGAGCGAGGGAAAAGACTCGAACAGGAAACAAAAATCTTGTCAAACCAAGTTGTTAGAGATGTGTGATCCAGCATTTTTGTGAGAAGGATGACTCACATTTCACAGAATCAGGGCAGAGTGTGAAATGCTATAACAAACTGGAGCTGCTCTTCCCCCGGAGAGCGGTGCTGCCTGACTCTGAGATTTTCCGTTTGAACAAGTGCTGCACATTTGATTTGTGTACGTATCACACCAAGGATTAGAGTTCAAAGTGTTCACTTAAGTCCTCTCACTTTGCCAACCACTGCACTTCTGGTAATTAACCCCCAGATCAAGCGTCGCATACAGAGAAATGAACAATGACTGTGCTGATGAGGAGGGTGCACGCCACAGCCTCGGTTCCCACATGACAGATCAGAGGGATGAACACCTGCTATGACCAACATTACAAGACAGCAAAACCCTTCTGACAGCCAGACAGCACGTCTCTCCTGGTCCACGTTATTTGTTATGCTATGATTTACTGTTTATCTTTGACACGAAGAAAGGCCAGTGCTTCACAAATAAATCTGTTTGTTCACAAAGTTGATATACTCTCTCCTGGTAGTCTGTGTTGCAGCGTATTTTTTTGTTGTATTCTACTGTGCATCCAAATGCACGCACAGGCAAAGGCAGCTGTCCATCAATACGAGCTCATGGTTATTTGAGTTTATGATACAAAGCATTCATATGAAAATTGTGTGTTTATAATAGTGAAAATTCTCTTGAGAAAAGAAGCTAAAAATGAAAGTGTTTCTCAGTGGGGTTGTCAAAATTTCTCCGTGGCCTGTAAGTCTGTGGGTCAACTGCAGCACACAGAGCTGTAGAGGAACGCTGCCATCTGGTGATAAACTCTTTCTGTACACGATGAATTCTGAATGTTTTCACCCATTTTAATCCACGTTCAAGAATTAAAATAAAAACTTGCTCTCACCTTCATTTCTATTTTGTGGCTGCAGAGGGCGGCTTTCAGGCTTTGATGCTGCCTGTGGGGCTTTAGTCTGACCTACAAGGGAATATGTGACATTAGTACTGCAATGCAGTAACACACTAAGCAATTATGTGCAACATATCAAAATATCATTCTCCCTTCAGAAACATATTCAGTGCGTCAAGTAAGCAGCAACTATTATTATGAAATGTTTTAAAGCCTTACCCTCGGTATAAGGAGTAGGGTCACCCATTCTCCCAGTAACCTCTTCAGCAGGCTTGATGACATCGATTTCCAAAATGATTACCACCCGTCTGTAATAAGGCAATACCAAAAAGATAGGAGCCGTATGTGCATCTTTAGTATCAACTCATGTTTAGCTGTCCAAGAATCCTTCCAGCTGTGTGAATGTTTGAAGTTTAAGAAATATTGTACTAGCGCACACACACACACACACACACACACACACATTTTGTTACTTGAGACTCTCCAAGCTGTTTGATTAACTGTACAGAAAAACCACATACCGTCCATCCTTCAGTACATTGGTCACATGCCTCTTCAGAACGCAGATGCAGTTTGGGACCAGTTTGTTCTCCTCTGCCATGACGTTCAGCTGGGTGGAGAGCATGAAGGCTGCAAAGGTGTCGAGAGATGAGAGAAGAAAGGCAGGAGCAGCCCAGCTTCATCCCGCTTACGGTCTTTTGAGAATAACCACTCTTATAAACAGTCGTCAACCCTATGCCCATCCTACATTCAGTGTCTACTGAAAGAGAGAAAAATCGCTACATATGCACACTATTCAACACTATCTTGCCTCCCTGTACTGCAACTGCCTTTTAAATGTCACAGCAACATGCACTTTCTAATGAGATGATATCTATTAAGGAGATAAGGAGTTTTCTAAACAATCATACAATGGATCGGACAATGTGGAACTGGTTCTCGATTCACTTCCCTAGTGACAGGTTGAACTTTTCATCCTCCAAGAGGCTCAGTATAAATGATAAGAATAAATATACTGTATGCATGGCAGCTGAAAATATCAAACATGGATTTACACGTCAACAGCCCATTGACTTTGGCACTTGCTTCATATACTGAAGGCCCTGAATCAGAATATTGATATGCTTGACTTGCTATGACATAAATACAACTTTAACAAGGAGATTCTGACTGATGTGAGATCAGCTGATGGTTTTACCCTGCTGGAGTTGTCAGTCCACCTTGATTGTTCAGTGGTGTTACAGAGTGATTTTTTTTTTTTAACCACAAACACTCTTTGGCTAAGAGCAGACAGTGTTGTGTTGAAGCATGTTTCACCACTGCCTGCAGCAAGAACACAAATAACAAGTAGCAGCGAGTTTCATTATGGCCTGTCATCAGTTTAAGTAATGGAGGTAGCTGGTATAACCCTGCTGTTTGCCATTTTAACCAGAAACAGCTATGCTCAGCACCAAACTAAACATGGGAGGCTGCTACGTTGAATGTGCTTTGCTAACTAGTGTCAGAACTCCAGTCTCTCACATATGACGTTTGCTCATGCATCGCTTTGGTCATCAATAAGTAAAAAGTTGATGTATGGTGGTACTGAAAATGTGTAAATATGTCCACTTTTCTTCTTTGGGTTTTCATAGCGGTTGCCAGGCCAGCACCCCGTCCTCCTTTGACAAATTTTTTGCAATGCACAGCTGTCAGAAAAACATCGATAGAAGAAACTGATAACCTCAAAGGCGTGCAATTCTAATGGATCTGGCTGAAAGAGGAATCATTTTCAAACTGAAATCACAATTTAACAATGATTTTCAGATCAAAAAAAAAAGCTGGGATTTAAACTGCCACTAAAACTTGATTTTAAATGCTACAGATCTGAAACAACCCGTGCTGCATCCCCGCAGGCCTCTATTACATACACGTATCGCTCTGCTCTGCAGGCTTCATGTGAAAGCTGCAGAGTAAATGAGTGAGTGGAACCAGAGAGCCACACCAATAAGCTTCACTTTGGTGCTGCTAGCCGCACTGAACATAGCTTGGGCAGTCAGCAAAACAGTCAATCATCAACCTTACGATTAAAGGTGTGCTACAGTATTTTGAATAATAAAAGCAGATTCAAGAGTTCAGCAGTCAGAGAATAAGTGAGGCATTCCAAACAAATACATAAAAACAAGGATCTGAACAACTTACAGGACAGAGTGTCAAAAGCAGATTCAAGAGTTCAGAGGTCAGAGAATAAGTGAGGCATTACAAACAAATACATAAAAACAAAGATCTGAACAACTTACAGGACAGAGTGTGCCGCCCATCACTCATCATTACCCGAAAGCGAGCTGGACCATTTCCCCCATCAATCTTGCGAATGTTCTGGAAGGTCAAATATATGTGAAACTATTTAACCTACACAAAAACAATACATTGGTCTGATTGTGTGATTCTGGATCCTACGACAGCATTTCTCTAGTTTAGCTTTGGTGTATGGAGAAAAAAAAAAAGGTACACAAGGTGATTACCGACCTTGGTTCCTTGTTTATTTGGTAAATAATATTCTGCACAAGCTCACGTTCTCATACAGTCTTGTCAGGATGCAGCTGGGTCACTGGGTCATTTTCTGAAGTGACCCAGGCTAAACCACGGCTTTAAGGGTGTTTTCACACTTGGTCCCTTTTACATGAAACAAACTCGGTCCTCTTAAAGTGGGGTAAGAAGGGGACAGACAAATAGGGGACTCAGTTCTTATTGTGTTTACACTGCGAGTACATTTAAAAGAGGACTCAGTTCTTATTCTCGTTAGAGCTGAAAACTGAAGGGATCCCTTAGCATGTCTGTGCATTGTAAACAGTGGTAGTTTGATGTGTGAACGAACCAAGTGTGAAAACTCCATAAGAGTAACAGAAGGATTTTGAAGCAAATTGTGTACTGAATTGGAAACCTGTGAAATAGTTTAAGCATCGGAGTGATGATAAACAGTAATAACTCTAGAAGCTGAATTCTGAACAAGTCCAAGTCTTCCTATTGAATGCTCTGACTATCCAAGTCAAAAAGCATTACAGTAACTAGTCTGCTGAAATAAACAAATGTACTAGTTTCTCTGAATCAGTTTGTGATAAAGATTTTTACTCGATATATTTCTCCAATGACAAAATGATGTAGTAATATTCGTTATATTATTTTCAAAATTAAGGTCAGGATCCGGAATAGCACCCAGGTTTCTGAACTTCTCACCGGCTTTGCAAGAGCATTGAGAGGGATGAGTACATTTCTTGCCACTGATTTTGTAACCATCAATACAAATTTCTGTTTTATTCTTGTTCAGTTTCTTGCCATCCAATAATTTGTCCATAATACAATTTACCAGACTGTCATTTGGAGAAAGAGATATAAAGTTGGGTCATCTGCATAGATTGCACATCTTAACGATATTGTTCAATAAAAACATATAAATGTATTGGGCCAAGAATTGTCCCTTGTGGAACTCTGATTCAAATTTGTCAGTAGATACACAGAAACTATTGTCTTTAATATAGGATCATTTCTAAACAAAGACAGAAAAACCAAAGACATCACATAGCATACATACAAATTTAAATTTAATTAACAGTGGTATCAAAAGCAGCTATAAGATCCAGTAATACAAGAACTGGGAGTTTCTTAACATCTAAATTAACACCTATAATTTGGGTGATTCAGCACTGTGATTTCACCTAGAATCTGACTGGTATACATCTAAGATGTTATCGTATGGAAATCTAAATAGCTGTTTAAGGAAAGCTTTATGAACAAAGTTACCCAAAAGGGGCAGGTGGGACAGGCCTGTAGTTACTTATGAGAGATGGAGAGAAGTTGTTTTTATTAACCAATGGGAAGATTACTGCACAGTTAAAAGAGGCTGGGACAGTCCTGGAAAGAACATCTGCAATATTCACCAAGTCATCCATAGCAAACTGCCTTGTCTAAAAGCCAAGGACAGTGAAGATGTGATACTGTGAGAAATTAAAACACTGTTTCTAACTTGACAACCTATATCCTGAAATGATCCTGAAAAATAATTGACTATATTTATTTGAGGAAACAAATTCTGAGGGCAGGGCTCTTATACGATTAATGAGTTTACCTGTAGTGGAGAACAAGAAGCTTTATTTGGACTAATGGCATTTAATTGTGAGAAGTAAGCTAGAATATTAATCAAAGTAGCAAGTGTGTTTTCTGTGACTAGACTAATAGCTTCACTGAGAAATCGTTGCAAGCTCTAAATTGAAGCAACGTTAAACAGGTCACCAAAGGGACAGGTTGTATTATCCTAGTGTTTGTTACTCACTACTAATTGGAGAACAGCGTTGTTGCAACCGGTGCCATTTGAGAGAGCCTGTAAACACAAAAAGCCTGTTAGTTTAAGCCATTTGCTGTCAGGTTCTTTTATTTAACAACATTTCATCTAAAAGTAGATGGAAACGAACTCTTTACCCAAAGCGAATTCAACAGTTTTATCTAGCTAGCTGGGAAGTTTATCCAAACAAACAGTAGCTAGAGATGCAAATGAATACCTGCTAATTATTCCAGCTGAACAAAGACTATACAAAGTACCAAACGTTTGTCTGGTTTTCGTTTTAGAACACGTTCTAACTTATACTGCAACGATGAACCTTACCTCTATCGCACCCTCTGACAGCTTCGTCATGCCTGCTAAGAGGTGATTTGGCTAAACAAAAACAAGTTTACAGATAATTTCACGCTAACCACACAACCAACTCCAAATGTCCTGCCCTGACGAGGCTTGCTGAATTGTGTCTGTGGCGCCAATGACTTGTACTAACGCGCCAAGGATGTCCTGCTTCCATTTCCGTTTACAGATCTGACGTCAGTTTGTTGTCTGTCAGCACAGTAAATCGAACAGCCTGGCGAGCACTGTGAAACTGCTCGGAGATCAGCAGCATGGTCGGCGCCAAACGTAACTTGCCGTCAGGCACTACGGATGCGTTCAAATCCATCGGGAAATAACAGATTTCATGACTCCACTAACTTATTTTGAAATGAAGTAAACTAGACTCTTAATCTCCGAAGTTACTATATAGGAATAATGGTACAGTGGGTGGTTTTTCGATATGGTCTTTCAGCTAATATACATCCAATCACCATTTGTATAACCAATGGACTATCTATGACAAACTTTTGCACGCTACCTTTTCCTTTAATTTGCCTGACCAAAACACTGTTACTGTGGAAAACAAACAAGCAAGCAAACAAAAAAAAAACAACTACAGCAACAAAAATCACTTTTACAAAAAGGAACGTCGGTCACTTCTGTTTTATAACACAGACACAAAAAAATCGGTGTTGTAGAAAGACGAAATAATGGCAACATTATCAGCCACAACCACAAATTACAGACATTTGGCTTATTAAAATATTAAATTGCCTCCTAATGTCTACTGTTGTCCCTCATGTTTCCATTTCCCAGTTTCGTGAATGCACCAACTTGCAAACACGATTTGGTACTGCCCTTTTTTTAAATTAAAAGATAAGCAAATAAATTCACAACCTTGACATGTGGTTCAGATCAATTTAATTTATTATCCCATTAGATTGCATCTTTAAAAATTCAACTGCACACCCACACTGATGTTGTAATGATCTGGCATTATACCAGAATAGTTTGGCTTTATATGTTGATACCTTGGGAAATTTATGTTTACAGAAATTTTACAATGGGTATAAACATTGACCAGAATGTGTCATCTAATGCAGACTGTAATTATTTTTAAAAGAATATCAAATTTAAATTGAATACTGGGCTCCTCTGTAATGAAATAAACAATTAAATGAAGCATCTGTTTTCACACCATTTATGATCTGGTGATATTGTACACTTAATTTGTACAATCATAAAGGTCTTGTCCTGAGTTTCCATGGGACAGCTGTGTAGGGTATTAGCGTCTACTTAGGTGGGCCTCCAAATGAGCCAACATGATTCTTGTCAACTGAGAATCCCATTTTATTATTGCTTCCAAATTCTCCTCTTTGCAAGATAGGAGCTCCAGGATTAGGGTTATTGATGACACCCATGAAAATTGGTATTTGAGTCACGTCATCCATAAGGGCAAAGAAGAAGGGTTGGCTGAGGTGGAAAACTGGCATGGACGCACGTGAAATAACAACTGTGGTGGCTGCAGAACCCTCCGCTCCCTCCTCATTTATCTCCATGCTGGACTTGTGCATCACACTGGACACCAGCAGGGGGCCATCTGCAATCTCAGCCAAGTTTGGACTGGAAAACATCTCTCCAAGGCCTGACACAGAGCACAGAGGATAGAATATGTTTTTACCTTTAGCCTGTTGTATGTTTAAAAATTTCATCAAGTAACAAACATTTGTATGTGACTTTAAACAAAAACTACCATAACAAAGATTGCAGAAAATAACAAGGTCTTACCTAATTTTGTAAAAACATCCTGCATCTCTTGAGCATACTCCAGTTTGAATTTGGGGACTTTAACTTGAACAGCCCTCTCTTTGGGCAAATGAACATACAGGTGTGAGATATTCAGCTTAGCAGAGAGTGAAGAAACATTCACCTGGCCGGACATGGGCATGACCACCAACATGCTCATGGACCTCTGGAATGGAAAGCTCGCTACCTGCACAAGGAGAAGAAATAGTGTTAACACTAGGGGGTTGAGATTCTTTCTGTGTGCTTGGTAAGTGAAAGTATTTTACCTGAGCCTCCAGTTCATTATCAATAAATAAACTCAAGGGATGTTTGGCATCTTCCATCACTTCAACATCAACCATGTGCTTGTCGTCGAGGTAAAATGCACCTCTGGAAGTAAAGCGTGGGTCAAATCGAGCTTTCCATTCTCCTGTGGCAAACAGTGAAAAGTGGTTTTTAGTCAGCAGCATAACTCCAGCATACGGCAGCTTGTGACAATGGAAAATATGCACGCACAGGAACCTCCACGGGTTATTTTCACAGGTTTCTTTGGGAGCCCAGTATTCCCAGGAAGTCTATCCTATTATAATATGATGACATTTCACTTCTCATTTACCTTTAAAATGGACAGCATTAATGAGCATGAGAAGCAAATTGGGAGGTAAAGCAGACAGGAAGTCAGTCATTTTTCCTTGTGTTGCCTCCTCTACCCAGTCGTTGATCTGCTGCAGGCTCTCCAGCACTGCCGGCTCTGAGTCATAGAACTGCTGGGATTCATAGATAAAGTCTTGCTTTGGCTCAAAACCTACAACACACAATAAAAACACACATTCTCTCAGACTCTTGAACCTGCTCTTTAGGTCAGCACTACCAAAAGATGAGAAGTTACTGTATAAGAAAATAATGTTTCTGCCAGCAGGAACTATGTAGGCTCAACTTTTAGTATGGCTAAAAATGATTTAGACAAAAACAATGATCTTCTAGGCAGTAACCTTGGCGCAGGAAGATGCGTGTTGCGATTTGTAGATCATTGTTTCTGAGGTGCTTTAGGATATTATGCAGAGAGTGGTGGTAACAGGGAAGAGTGTTTTCATAAAGATGGTGCATCAGCAGCTCCTCTGTCTCATTGACTGCACCTGTGAGGAGGAGGGGTTGCCATAATTAAATGAATGAGTACAGTGAGAGTCTCAAGATAACTATGAAATACAGCATGCAGTAGCAATATTACAGTGTAAAAATACTGATTTACAAGTACAAGTCAGGCATTCAAAATGTTACTTAAGTAAAAGTACAAAAGTATTAGCAGAAAATATACTTAAAAGACCAAAAGTACAAATTAGTTAAAATAGCACAGTTTACATTGATGTACATCATAGTATTTGATTATAAGTACTGCCGTATTATTTTGTACATCACATTTAATGTTGCAGCTGGTAAAGACAAAACTAGTTTTAACAATTTTATATGTTTATAATTTGAATTACTGCTGGGTAGCTTGTGAATTTTACACCAAGGATAAATAAATCTTGTGATTATAATGTATATATTGTTTTATTAACCTCATTCTGAAAAGTTACTAGTAAATAAAGTTATCAAATAAATGCAGTGAGAATATAGTACATTATTCTTCTCTGAAATGTAGTGAAATTGAAGTATGAAATAGCAGAAAATGAAGATACTCAAGTACAGATACCTCAAAACTACACTTAAGTACAGCACTTGAGTAAATGTACTTAGTTTCCACCACTGTAGACATGTATAGAGAACGTGCTGCTTAAGTAAAAGCTGCAGCAGGACATGCATACCTAAAGCCAGTTGGGAGAGGGCTAGCGATATGCTCAAAGGAGAAATGATAACATTTGGTTGCTCTTGTGTTGTCTCCAAGTTCTGCAGCAGTTGCACACCCAGTTTCTGAATGGCAGTGGCAATGATATCCCTTGACTGTCGGCTCCAGCCAGCAGACAGACAGTCCTCATCTTGTTCTTCCTCCAGTGAGCTCCTGTTGGGCCACCTAGTCATGGCTGTTGTAATTGCAGATACTTGTGTGGAATCTGCAGGTTTTGGTTGTGCTGTACTTTCTTCTGCTTTCTAAAGGCAGAAGGGAAAATGTTAAGTACAAGAACACATTTTCCAAAGTGTTAAATCAGTTTACCAGAACAGCTCTGTGCCTCTAACCTCAATGGGGTGAATGGGCACCAAGGGGATTGATTCGTCTTCTGCCATCTCAGCATTCTGTTGAGCAGCAAGAAAGTATAAAATAGCTAATCTGTACAAACACTGTATAATCTACACAGTTTATAATTATCGATCATAATCTAAAGTGTAATTTATTAGTAAATTCAGTGCTTTACAGTGACTCCTTGGCTGCAGAAATAGATCAACAGGAGTGTCAGACGGAGGTCCATGTCCTTTACGTTACTATAAAATACAGAAATTATGTTAGCGGAAAAATGGCCTGCTCACTTTTATGAAGCAATAAATAAACCTTTCTTTTTTCAAAACTCAAGTATATTGTGCAATAAATTAATATCCCTCTCAAGAGCATATTTTCACCTTTCATTTTCAAGACATAATTAGATGCTAGTAAAAATCAAATGAAATCATAAAACATTGAAGTTTAACCTTTGTTGTTTCTTTGGTGTATTTTCTGCCAGTCTCAAACACTTTTGCTTTATTTAGTCACACTCTGAAAAGGAGCCCAGATCATCTGGAAGTGTGCCTAACACACAGATAATACTCACTGTAGACTGTGCACCTACAATGTCAGTAAAAGGCCAAACTGTGTGCTTTTAGCAGTTACCAGGGCTGCTTTGAACTACATCCTAATATTGCAGTTTTATCAATCAAAAACAGTTATAGAGTATCTACTTTAAGGGACACATATCTACTCTCTTTGCATGAACAATTTTGAGTACTAGTGCATTGTGGTGTCTGCAGACATTCTATATTCACATTGATATAAAATGCTCTAATGTTTAAAAAGAAGCCATTAGTATTCACTGGTATAGTGCCATAGCCCCACTGCAGACCTCACACAAGCATGAAAATCCATTAAGTAATATTTACAATATTCCACAAAGTCTTTAAATTATTCAGTTGTACAATAGCACTGCCGAAAATTAATTGAAATATATTTGATCTTACCTTAGAAAAAAAAAAACTTGCTGCCTTGTCCAAAAAAGGAGCGACCGACTGTGGATTGCAGAATTCCTGAGAGCAAAAGATTGGCACTTACTCAGCAAACTGTTAAATATCAACTTACATTGATTGGGGCCTTATTTATGCCACTGTTTGTTTGTAAATGTAGCTTCTGAGACTCTTCCAGGGTTAAACATGAAGCCTGACATGCTCTAAATGTCAGTGGGCAGGTGATCATACACAACAATCTGTGAACAGGATGGATGACAGCTTAATTGCAAAAGTGCAAATAATCCAACTGGTGGGCCAACAGTGCAACTTGATGACTCCAGAGTTACACATTTGACGTTGGACAGTACAAGCCCGCATTTCCCTGAAACCCCTGACTTTGACACACTAGCATTTTGCCAAAACACTTCAGCAACACTTGACTGCTATGTCCTGAAATTATGGTCGTATGTTGTTGCCGTTGATATTTTTAAATCACTTTCAAAGCACATGTATTCAGCTGATTTGGTCACATTTCATCCTAAACAAAAGGTGATATCTTCTAGATCACATGATATTCCATCTGCAAACACAGGAGGGGACTTTGTTCAATCTGAGCTCTAGTGACTCAGTCAAGACTGGAAGGCAAGGCATGACGAACCCAGGTGAATCACACAGAACAACTTCAACACAGAAAACATGGAAGCGGTTTTTATTAATCCAGTTAATAAATAAACATTCTCATGAAGCTCTCTTAAAATGTTCAAAAAGATAGGATCAATTGTGACCAATTATCAATGTGCAACTATAAACTTTCATTTTAAAAATAAAGTTGATCAATTTATGATTGTTTTCATTTCAGGTTTACAAAGAAAAAAAAAAATCCCAGACTATCAAAAATGCATTTTTCAGAGCCTTGGACGAGTAATTAGAAGAAAAGAGAAACTGTTTTACAACATAATGCTGGTAAAATCATATCATACATAAGGGCAAAGGTTTGACCGTGGGATGCTGCCAGGCATCTTTAGATTTGTTAAAGGTTTAATGAAAAACAGCTGAATTTAAGGAACAAAAATCTTTACTGTATAAAGAGTTGCATTACACAATAAGGAACGCTTTAAACCACATTGTTTATTGATTTGTATCTTTTGTTGGTATTTTCTCAACATATTCATATGCAGTTACATATAAATATTAAAATACAAAACTGTTACCTTGGCATTGACTGTTCCTATGTTAGCTTTTTCCCCCCCATCAGAAATTAGAAAGTTGTGAGTGTAACAACTGGCAAACCCACCAAAGTGGCATTTGCTGAGATACACTCCTAGGATGATGCTGCTACAGGTTCTGACTGCTCAAGCAAAAATCCCTAAACACAGTTTAGAAAGTCCCAAAGCAACTTCAAGTAACTTATAAGTGGATAAAAACATTGTCTTTAAAATCTGGGTGAGAATCTACATGTTACAATTCAGACCATACTTGTGCAGAGTAGGATAAAGGCTGTGCGTCAGTAATTGAGTTTTGGATGCGGTGACAACTGAAGCATCGCCGCTCTGAGAAGGTGCACCAAGACTGTCGTCAAAATGACGAGTGTACTTTTATTGTTCATGATATATAAACCACCGGCTGTGAAACAACTCACATGGAACATAAACAAATGACTTGGTCTACAAATACTGCATAGTTTAAATCAGTGCATTTTGATGATCATGTTTTCTTACATAACCATCTATTCTAATGTCAAAGGAAATGAAAGATGAGGTCCATGTATATTTGGTGTTGTTAAAGATCTATTTGGAAAGTGTAAACACTACATAAGAACCATGTTTGGTTCCACCTTCCTGAGCACATCTTATGATTCATTCTTATGAAGAGAATAACTGAACTAGTCAAAAGAATAAATGACCTTGTCAAGATATGTAAGGATTTGCCATTATATACTTTCTTTACAACTATAGGCTTTTTTTAAAAAAATCATGGGATTTACTGTACATGATAAATGTCAAAAGTGTGGCACACATTTCCTCTCCATCAAATTCAGTGCCAAAAACAAGAGTGCCAATAATCAGTAGATATGAAGCTTATACAATGTCTCTACTTGTGCTGCCTCATTTAAGAACAATTTAACAGAAGTGACAACTGCCCTTGCAGTACAACTGACCTCAAGCACTGGAGGAGGACAGAGAAAGCTCAGAAACCTGGTGTGTTCATGAATAATACACTTAGAAGGTCAGCAGTAAGAGTGTTCAGCGCAGCTGGGAGCCATTGATTTAAGCTAATAACCGAATGGCGCCATTCTCAGAGCCCAGCAGCAGCAGCCTCTTGGTGGGTAGGACTGCCAGGCTGGTCAGGGTGCCACGGAAATTCTCCGAGCTCAGCTTTGTGCTACTAATGGGGCTCAGGGAGATGTCTGCCATGGAGTATACCCCGATCTTGTTAGCCACTGTCCCAGTTACAATCTCTGAACCGTAAAGGTCAAAGGCATGGATGGGGTCGGACTGCGACTTATACTGACGTACAGACTTGTTTTCCAGATCTTTCCAAACAGTGAGTGTGTAGTCAGTAGAGGAGCTGATGACCAAGTTTCCTTCTCCAGCCTGAAAAGTAAAACAAAAAAAAAGGAAGTGTGACTGTTGATATCCAAGTAATCAAGTTCTCCAAAGTCTCCCCCCCCCCCCCACGCCTTCAATAAATTGTTGTTACGAGATGATCAACATTATTTGCTTCATCTCTGAGTGATCATAATGTTTTGGCTCATTGGTGTCTATTTGCTTATATACATTTCCTACCTACTATTGACAGTTACTGCCACAATTACAGAATTAACAAATAGATATATAAAACATTTGACTAGCAGTGTTCCTATACCCAAATACTTAAAACTTTTAGATGAGAGCTAAGTGAAATTTGTTTGATCATCCATAGATACTAGAAAATGTATTTCAAACAAGATAATGAAAAGAATTTATTTGGTTTTAATTTCGCAGCTAAAGTATGAAACTGGCTGATACGCGCAAGAATTGAGGGGAGGTCTGAGTAATATGAATGTGCCAGTAAGAACCATTGTGGTTTTTCTAATGAGTAACCCGTGTCCATATTTGCCTAAACCTGTGCCTTTAAAACTAGAGACACAATCCTTGACCTAATTTGGGGTTAAATAAAGTTTGCTCATCCTTGCACTCTGCTGACCACTGATTTTCTGGGTACAACTTTCACCATCGCTTGACAACTGAAAAGTACAGTCACAGCTTCTGGCTTGAGATTGGGATGTAGACCATGATACAGTACAACAATGTTCTGGTGGATTTTTTTAGGGATAGTTGTGATATTAAGTGGTAGCCCTGGTTTTTACATGTATGGCATTATGATTAAATCAAAATTACACCTATTAAATTGCAGCCTGAATGAACAACAAACAGCTATTTAATTCTGACAAAAACAAGCTCAGCGCATTTAATAAACCACTTGTTTTCATTTTCACCAGGGACAGGCAGCGGTGGCCCTTTTATGCCAAGCTCTCAACCTATACACAAAACAGGTTCTAGTATCTCCACACAACTATTCAACGAGCCATGTGGACAATCCACCAGGAGGTCCAAGTCAGATGCACACGTAATAAGTCACTCGGAGTAGAAACGTCAACACATGTAACAAGTGATTAACTGGCCAACATGCGCTGCACACAAGGCTCTGTAATTTCACATGATAAAAAGAGAAATGTTCCCTGTGTTTGGCAACAAGTTTATCTAGCAGAGTAGAATGTTTGGCCATAGGATAGACAGCAACCGCCCATTTATGTGACACACTGCATGACCTGTGTCCCCAGGCCCACGTCTTCTGTAAACAACTTGACCAACCCACAT